AAGTCTACAGATTCTTTGACGCTGTTCAGCCGGTATGTATTGCACGTCATGTTAATGGCAGACTTGTACTAATAGTGCCCCTAGATCCACGAGAGCATCGCCCCTCTAGTTTTGCCCCTGAAGACTCTTTCAGCCGCCGTGTCCCTGATACTACTCAAGCCAGCCCGCTCATTAACCTATCTTTCCGAGAGAGAAGAGGATGCTACTCAGGCAGATACTTCCTACGATACATATCTGCTCTCATCCGACGTCCTTGAACAGGTCCACAAGAGCATACTAAACGCTGCTGAAGCCGATTGCGAAAGCGCTTCACCCGTCATTTTCGCCTGGACGCTTCTTCTTCATCGCATGAATGTTTCCTATCAAAGTCGAACAGAGAAGCGTGATAATTTGCTGCAGCAAAATGCACGAGAAACCTTTGAGGCAGGAGGTGTGATTCGACCAGTTGCAAGACGAAACTCGGCGGGCAGCATCTTCTCCATCGAATCATCGAAATTTGACGGCTTCCTCGAGAATGCGACTTCATCCAAGGATCTTGTCGTGGTGGAACAGCTTGCATCACAAGTCACGTCTCAAGGTCGTGTCTTTGATGTCGTTTCTAATATGGCAACATCATTAGGTCCCTCAGATGAGGGCAGTATGACCCCCTTACTTAGTGCTCGCCTTCGAATTGTCTTCCTTGAGCTTCTCAAGGTTTCATACCCCATCGTTGGCTATCAGTCCGAACCAGTAAGCTCCCTTCTTTCGATTCTGAGCGCTGGTCGAAATTACTGGGACATCTCAAACAAGGAGAACCTCTCGGAGAAGCAAGATATTCTCGCATCCATGATCAATGATGATCTTGCACTAGAGTTTTTCTTCAAGCAAGCTCTTGACAGATACCCTTATGAATTCCTGCCGTTTATCACTCTCTGCCGAACTCTCGCCAGTGCTACTAGCCTCTGTGAGAGTGATCAGTCTCAGATGATCCTTAACCTTTTACGTGCAACACCCACACTCACATTCGTCCTTCCTGATTACTTCCAAGAGTACGAGCTCGCACAAGAAGACGAGAACACCAATACTTTCTGTTTGCTGCAGGATATTCCCATCATCTCGTTATCCCCTTCGTGGCGAGGAAGACGTGTCGAGGACGATGCGTACCGGATACCAGCAGGCACATATGGGCGATTTGTTACGGATACAGGTAGAGTCGTCTCAATGGAGTATCCTCATTCAACTATCTCGCTCCTGGGTCGACGACTAGAAATCAATTTGATGAAGGAAGGCTATCAATCTGAGCTCGGAATGCTCCAGCCAGAAGAGACTGCCGAAGTCATCTCTCTGTTTGCGACACTCATTCGCATGGATCATCTAAATGCCGCCGGGGAGGAGTCCGCCGGCGCCTTGGTGCTTCCCGACAATGACATTCTTCATGAGGCAAAGAAGCATATTGATGCCGGAAGTGGTAGAGATCTCCTAACAGTTGTCTGCGAGACAATGGACTACTACATGCAGGTTGACCTTGCGGAGAGCGAGGACGTTGTCGTCACTATCCTCAATTCTTGCGTCCAATTCCTCGATGCGGTCCTGCCTATTTACCCTAGCAGAGTGTGGTCATATCTTTCTCGATGCGAGCTTTTAAGCTCCGAGTCCAGAGCTGGTAAGCTCACCAAGGTCGTGGGAAGCCTCGATCTGGTCCAGGAGAGGCTCGAATTTTTACTATCTTGTCTAAGACTATTCTCAAACCTCATTGACACTGCAATGACTTCCGCTGTTCAGCGACGAGCTGGTATCCATACCACAAGCAGAAACAAGTCAGATCTGAACCCTTGGCTGGGCACAGCAGATAAAGTTCTAGCAAAGGTCAGCTACGCCATTGCCCAAGCAGGCGTAGACATCTTTGAGAATACTTCAACCTGGAGATTTGCGTCTGACACATGCCGCTCGTCAGTGCTCCGAGAGGTTGTACCAATCCTGCAAAAGGTGATTATGTATAGCTACAGTCTTGGTGATCCTTCGACCTCTGAGAATCTGACTTCATGCCTACGACCCGCCGCCTCTTATGTTATCGACTGTTTCGTCTCACCCTCAACTGGATCTCTGCGATTCCAACCCCTTTTATCATCCCTTATCACAGCATTTACAACCGCCGACAGTACCCTCTATCCAAGACGCGTGGAGATGGTACAGGCACAGTTAAATACAGTACTTGACTTTTCCGCAACACTACTACGCGTCGCCAATTATCTAGAGCAATCCTCTAGCATGATTGAAACTTACCTGTTCAAAAGTTCCACCCTGCTTGCACGGTTATGCGCAGTTTCTGACCATTTCCGCAAGCCCACCATGTGGCTGCTTGAGTCTTTGGTTGTAAATGCTGGCAAATCCTCGAGCGAGCCCCCGTCACTGCTTGGTTACTTGGGGCCTCAGATTTCCAAGTCTTTTCTCCAACTCTTATCAACCCTGGGTAAACCCTTTGAACTTAGGGGCGAGGTCAAGGCCACATGGAAGTTCTTTTCGGCTATTCTGAGGAACCGACAACAGTGGATGTCCAATTGCCTGCTTACTGGGCAAACCCCCAGGGAGGCGATGAAGAAAGACAAAAAGAAGACGGATGTTTCTTCCAGCTCGGTATTTGCTACTGGGCTTGCCAAGCTTGGCAAGTTAAAGGATCTAGCAATAAGTGAGGCCCTGGTTATTCTGGACTTTGTCGCCTCGGCTCAGAACTTCTGGCCCTGGACAGTCTTCACACTCCAGAAAGACACCTCTTATCTTGATGGGCTTAGAGAATATGTCCGAGATCTCAAATCATCCAGTATCACCGTAAAGTCAGACCCTGTCCGTGCTGCTTTTGAGGCAAGACTTGCCGCGTATATCGCGGAGACATTTGCCATGCAGCTTTACCACTCGCGGCATCTGGGCAACTCGGGCACATTGGCAAAGAGCCTTATTGGCGATCTTGACTACTACTTGCGTGATGGAGTTGAGGTTGGAGGTTACAACAAGTCTCTTCACAACAACTTCGCCCGAAACTTCTCCAACAAGTATTCAGACTGCCCTGTGGATGACTTCAAGCGGACCGTCCTGGAGCCGCGGGAACTTGGCAATAGTTACTACTATGACTTGGAACGCGCCGATCAGATGCTACGATTTGATCCAGGCTGGAAAGGTCGCAAGGACGATGGTTTCAAGACAGAGATGGAGCGCGCAAACACTAACTTGTCTTTAGTTGACGCCCAGCTCGTAAGTGAATGTGCCTTATGTACCATGGATATAGCTAATGATATGATCTCTAGGCCCTTTTCCATGCTTGGGAGTTTCTACTTGTAGAGCTATCAACATGCATGCCCAAGAACGACACCGTGGAAAAGCAAATGCTGCAAGTTGCCCAACAATGCCTCAATGCCAACCAAGGAATTCCAGGCCCTGAACACATCTTCTTAAAACTTGTCGAGTCCAGGGCGAACCTTGCGCTTGTGTTGATCCAGCGCCTTGTCAAGTCATCAGTGCCAGTCAAGGACATCAACCAGCTTCTCTCGACCCTTGTTGGTACCATGAACGGAGTCGAGGAACCTTGGGGCACTGAATCTATCTCGTACTACCGCACCCTTCTAAAGGCTCTTTTCGTTACTCTGCGTGCCTACCAAATCAGTGGCAAGAAAGCAACCGAATCTCAGGATGCCTTTGAGGGAACTACCGTGACAGTTACACAAACTGTGTTGAATATCCTTGACCGAGTTGTGGGCAGGGGCTTCCGCGCACTCGTCAGCCTTATTCACGATAACGAAAATAGTGTATCGCCGGAAGATCTAGGATTGTTGACAGCCATACTTCAAGCCTGCATAAGTCTGCCCAACATGGATCAATCTCAGACTCAAGTTCTTAACATCATGGCCGAGCATCAAGTCCTCCATGCCGCCTCGTCTCTCTACTCATGGGCAGATAGACTGGCGGATCAAGGCGACCCTATCTATGGCGAGTTGAGCATGCTATTCTTGCTTGAACTCTCAACTCTCCCTATGGTTGCTGAACAGATGGCATGCGATGGAATCTTGAGCAACATCTTATCTGCAAATCTGACCAAGTTCATGCTCAAGTCCAACATTTCTCCCTATTCAGATTCCCCTGTGGTGCAACGTTGCTATGGTATCTGGGCCAAAGGACTGTTGCCGCTGATGCTGAACTTGCTCACAGCCTTGGGTGCAACTGTTGCTCCAGAGGTTGCGTACGTTCTTAATCAGTTCCCTCACCTACTTGAAGCCAGCGTGGACCGGTTTGAAGCACCCGGAGCTAGTCGTACTCAGTCTAGGGCGTCACCGCACTACCTGACCCTTGTCGCGATATCCGAGGTTCATTCTCTTGCCCTCCTCACGCGAGTGCTTGCTGCTCTTCGTTTGAATAATAACCGGGACATTCCTGACGTGGAATGGGACTCGGCAAACCTGCTGGAGAACGTCGACTTTTGGTTGAGCACAAAGAAGTTGCTAAAGGAGCGACTCATGCCCTTAGGTCAGCGTGAAATGGACTGGCGAGGGATGAAGCCTGTGTCAGGAGCATATGATAGTCTTTTGGAGGAGAAGGCGGTGGCTCAATTAGATGCCATCAGAGATGTGCTGAGTGAAGAAGCAGATAATTGAATATGAACATGGGAGCTTAGGAGAAAGGAGGGATAATCATCAAGGTGTATATTATAAGTATCTTAGGCCAAGGGCGTTGGAATAGCATGTATGCATTGCGGAATGGCATAAGAGAGTAAAAATGGGTTATAAATTCATTCCATGGTGACAGCCTGAGCCCAAGCGCCTCATGCCTATGGCCCAAAATAATAATATACAAGTGCATCTGGTGCCATGAGACCTAGCCACACGGCGTAACATGGTCATAAACAGCGTTCCGTCTTTTCGATATCGTCTTTAATCCGGAGCACATCTGATATCAACAGCACAGGTTTTGTGTATCCTTCCCCTTGTCGTCCTCCTTGCTAATCGTACATGTCTCGTCTTTCGAGTATTTCGCGTTTATTTGTTCATCTGGGCTGTGAGCTGGGCGTTGTGCTCTTGGAAGCGGTCGCTGATGCGCTGTTGAGAAGCCATCCACTTCTGAACGCAGCGGTTGATGCAGCCACTTTCTCGGGTTGAGATGGCCTTTGAGGTGAAGTCATCGACACAGGACATGAAGCAGTGCTCAACAAGACCACCGAATGCCTAAGAAGAGTACGTCAGCAATAATTCGACCGCGATACTCGTTGGGAATACATACACCCATAAACTCCTTGACCTGGCGCTTCTGCATGCGCTGCTCAAGAGTGCGCTGCTCAGCTGCGGAAAGCCTGTGATTGGAACATGTTGATTAGATTTGTGATTTGCTGACATGAATTGAGTATAGAGAGACTTACATATCCATTTTGACGGTTGAAGGGGGGTGATGTGGTTGTTGAAATGGAGGTTATAAGGCTTGTCGAGGTGGATTGACGTTGTCGGTTTGGTATGGAGACTGAAATTTTGAGATAAGCAAGCTAGAGAGCTCGGGACTCGGACGGGTTGGGCTTATCGGCGGGATCGCATTATCGTTTTACCCCGGATTGGCTGAGCTTTAAATGCACCACAACTGTTATTCCCGTTTATTATAAGTGACGCTATTCAGACTCGTGTGATACATTAGCATGTTGATATCGATATTTATTCTACGGTTACGGAGCAATTTCATTGTTGAATGCTAATTCTGATGTTGCAGCGTTTGCTGGAGAGGGACCTTCTGACGTAGCCAGGTACCCATGCTACCATGATAGTGGGTGGAGTTGAGCTTCTTTGACCAGCTAAAGACCTACGGATACGTACACTTGATAACCTGTTTAACAGCCATTAATACTATTCTTGTCATTTACATCAACTGAGAGGACTTGGACAGCCCTCTCGCTATCTTAGTACTGAGAGATTGTCATGTGAGGGCATCCCCGCTTAGCTACCCCTCCCCCCTCCAATGCTCTGCAGATCCAAACATCTACAACTCACCACGTAATTCAGCTGACCAAAACGAGACAGCCGTTGGAGGTATGTAAGCATGGCAATTGCTATTCTTATATTTCCACTTGATGGCAAAAAACATGAAACACTGATCGGCGCGGCACCTCGTCTGACAAGTCTTGCAGTTGGGTCAGGATTGGATGAGGCGCAGTCCATGTATTGCGCCTAGTGTTTGGTGTGCAATAAGATAGACGTCAGTGACCAAGATATATGTGTTTACTCAAAGAAAGACGGAGAAGTGGGAGGCACATGAATTATAACATGACGTGAAAGAAACTACCTATAGCATGGACTGTATACAAGGGATACTATGCTTCCAGAACTTCTTTTACTTGCTGATATCGACAAAACTGAAGCATGAGATGGGCGACGAATCAGGAAACAGAGAGGATTCAAGAGAGGCGAAAGACTGACGTGTGATGGTTGCAATCTTTCAACGTCCTCATGCCAAATATGGAAACATCCATCAATCAATCGCCAGTCCCTTGTGTGTGTGCGTGTGTGTGTGTGTGTGTGTGTGTGTGTGTGTCGATGCCAACCATGCATGCTTAAGTCAAAGAGAAGTAGGTACTGTGCATCAGCTGTCTACTGAGTCTTGGGAGGTAGACATCGAGCTGGTCCGTTTTATTACCCAAATTCCATTCTCTAAACAAGATACAGACAGACGGTCTCACTTGTTGGTGTTGGCGCACTGGGTGAGACAAGGTAGGGCCTTAGCTTCAGAGTCGAAATGAAAAGAGTCTCGATTTGGACAGTCAACATAAACAGCCGACTCCAGAGCATCCTCAACAGAGGAGGCATCCAACTTAGATTAACAATTCTTTTTTCGGAGTGCAGACTGCAGACTAGACCACGGATAAGCCAAGTTCTGATGCTTATTAGTGCCGGGATATCATCCATGGTTTATGGTTCGTTGGTGTTGTCGAGTTGCAGTAGTGGTTTCAGCTGAGAGTCCAGGGCCTTTTTTTCTTTTCTTTGAGTGAGTGACTCAGAGTCTCTAGTCTCTCTCAACAGTGAGTGATAAGAGCTAGCGACTTCAACAAGTTATTGACGGGTTATATCCTCCTAGAGCTGTGATCGACAGTACCTCGTCACTGTGGAGAGATCTCTCTATTAATTACCGTTGTGACTTGTAGGGCAGAACAGGGCAGGCAGGCAGGCAGGCAGATTGAGCGAGCGAGTGATGTGATTCAATTTGACTGATCGTGTTCCAAGCTTGAATCCTGGTAAATCTCCATGCCCACGACGCAATCGCAATCCAATTACTTGCGCCCAAAGTATCCACCAACAGCAACCGCTTGCGGCGTTGGAGTTGGATGGTTGACTCTGTAGACTGATCAATTAATATCCAACTATTCTATACATGTCAGTTCTTTTATTATTAGAGATCTGGTGCTGCAGAAAAAGTTGGTTAGGCTGAAGATGGGGTAGTATCAGATCCAACGTAGACGGGCATCCAAGATGCATTGTATACAACTGTGCAGATACGGATATTCACTGGTATTGACAATGATATCACATCTTCTTCACAACGTCCGTCGTTTACAATTAAGTTTAAAAGGGAGATTCAGAGTTTGCCAACAGTAGACGATGTACCTGAAATAGTTGAATGATCTGAGATGGGTCCAATTAACTACTATTGAAAGTTTATTATGTACGAGCCGATAACTAAAACTCGACCTGCATTCTCATTCTCGTATTTCTCCTCCCCTCTCGCAATCTTGTCTTGTCTCTATCATCATCCTTGTCCTTGTCCATCTTCCCACTCACTCCCTCCCTCACTTCCCACTTCCCGCTCTCGCTTGTTCACATTCACGCTCGTTCGTTCGTTTGGTCACTCGCTTTCGTCCCGATTTGGTTGCCCTAATTACACACGTTAACAGAGCCTGTTATTATCCATTGGGTACACTCTGTTTCAGTGCAAATAAGCCCATCCACCAAGTACCTAACTATCGCTGCCTGTGTCTACCTCCCTGTCTGCTCCCACTTACAACAGATCTTTTCCACTTGTTTCGATACTGGCCTGACATTCGCCGTCAAGTATTCGAGAGAGAGAGGGGCAAAGGCCACTACCAAAGCTGGTTTGTTTTGCTACCTGCATATGAATACATAATTAGAAGCTGTGAGATGCTGCATCTGCATCTGCATCTGCATTCTCTTGCAATTCCTATTGCAGCCCAGAATTAACCTCAACTCCACACAGCATATCCAACTGGTACCCTTATAACCACCGAGTCAGTCAAGCCTTACTTAAAGACTGATAAGATACCTCACTCAGTCTTCTCTTGTGCTTTGTATCTTGCCTACCTAAATACGGATGCCTACATACTTAAGTTAGTTTACAACGCAACCCTTTGCCTTTGCCTATCATTTCCCTCCGGTCAGGTACGGCAAGGTACCCCCATCTCAGTGTATGTACTGTACCTGGACACAATTGTCCTCCCCCCAGACCCAGACCCAGCACTACCTTACCTACTACGCTACGCTACGGGTACCTACAATAGTGGCTTTCGGTCCCAAGTCCCCCGCCTCACATCAATTGGACTGGATTTCTTTAATCTTACTCCCTCCCGTTCCCGTTCACGTTCACTCACTCGCTGGCTCTTGATGCCACCAACTGTTTTGTCTTCTCTGCTCTGCTCCTCTATTGCTACGACGCGATAATCATCGATTTGAGCGATAATTTACAGCCTTGACCCGCTCGAAGCGTCTCTTGCCGTTCCTTTCTTTGTCGCCTCACCTCGTCACCATCATCATCACATTGCACGCACGCACGCACTCACTCACTCACTATTTTGTGCCTTGACGATTCTTGCTTACGCCCGAACCCGTGCCTCAGAGCCAAGGATTTGAATCTGGATTACCAGACACAAAGTGAACTGAACCAAGCCAGCGCCTAACGCCTTGACGCCCTACACTACTACTACTGTTGTACCGCTCTAACGCCCTTGACGCTACCAATCATCGACCGATCTGTCTCATCCTAGACTGGCGCGCACACTGTTGCCATCGACTCCCTCGCTCGCTTGCTCGCTTGAGCTTCCCCAGCTCAAGGCTTTGATTTCTAGCTCCTGATCTCTAGCCTCGCATCGCATCGCCATTTCCATCCTGCTGTCGCCTATCGGCATCGGTCGAGTCGAGACCTTTTCCTCACCCTCCCGCCTGCCTCTCTGAACCCGGCCTCTGTATTATAGCACGGCTCCGGGTCACCGCTTCAGCGCACCCTGTCGCCGCATCCTCGCTCGACCTCTATTGAGGCTGAGGCCTAGCCATCGTGACTCTGGCAACTGGGCCGGCCCAGCTGTAGTGTCCTTCGTCACCTCAACCTCAACCTCATATTCCTCTACGCTTTCGCTCTCGCAGTCGTCGCTCTCGCTCTTGGCACGCGCAGCCTTTCGCCATGACGTCCGCCGCCTCGAACCCTAATCAGGCCAACCAGCCGGCTCTCCAAATCAATAATGCAGCATCCCCGCCCAGCAAGCGCGATCTCAAATCATGGTGGAAGGGTTTCAAGCTGCCTTCGAAGCACCAGGAACCCCAGGGTAAGATATCTCCCTCCTCCACTCTTTACTGCGCAACCCTGCCGAGCTTCGAGTCAGAACGTCATAAAGCAGTATAGTTTCGTTGCTATCACCTGTCGCGATACGCTTTTCGACGATTTTGAATCCTTCGAACCACAGCGCCTACGGCTGATCACAACTGAATCCGTTGCACATACAATCCTCACATTCACGAAGTCAATATGCACATAGCTTGACTCCCCCACTTCTTAATGTCTGGTCTCTAACTTGTGTATTTGCAGAAACCCGCCCCCAAGGTATCTTCGGAGTGCCTTTGCGGCAAAGCATAACATATGCCAACGTCGCCATCTCACTCATCGATGAAAATGGACAGAGCTACATCTACGGCTATGTCCCCATTGTCGTCGCAAAATGTGGCGTCTTCCTCAAAGAAAAAGGTTGGTTCTTTTGGCCTGGCTTACAGGGAAATTGTACTGACGCTTCCTTTAAGCTACCCACGTCGAAGGAATTTTCCGGCTTAGCGGTTCGGAAAAGAGAATAAAGGAGCTTAAGACTATATTCGACTCACCTGATAGATACGGGAAGGGTCTCGTCTGGGACGGATACACTGTACACGATGCTGCCAACGTTCTGCGACGATATCTCAACGACCTCCCCGAACCCGTCGTTCCCCTCGATCTATACGAGAAGTTTCGCGACCCCCTCCGAGGCGCAACCAAGCAAGCTGTGGGCGATGCAGAGGGGCCTCAATTCGTCGAAAATTTCAACGAGAAAGCGGCCATCTTGCAGTACCAGCGACTCATCACGGAGCTACCGCCCTTAAACCGACAGCTACTTCTCTACATTCTCGATCTTCTCGCGGTTTTCGCTGCCAAGGCGGACGAGAACCGCATGAACTCACAAAATCTGGCTGCCATCTTCCAGCCAGGCATGCTCTCGCACCCAGCACATGCCATGGCTCCCGAGGAATACCGACTGAACCAATGTGTTATCATTTTCTTGATCGAGAACCAGGATCACTTCCTTATTGGTATGCAGGGCACCGCTGCTGATGAAAAGACCAAGAAAGAGGTGGAGTCTGGCACACCCAGTGGTCCTCTCACCCCTCAGCCTACTCGAAAGACAAGCCTGGGCCGATCGGCGTCCAATGCGAGTGCAGGCGCCAACAGTGTGCGGCGGGATGGCAAGCTTCGAAGAAACCGATCCGTGTCGTCACGGAACTCCAGGAATGACGGAAGCTCCACGCCCAATAGTCCAGCCTTGACAGCTACGCCGACGACAGGTGGATTGGCTAGAAGCAATACTGTGCCATCCAAGAAATCTCCTGCCATTGGTGCTGGCCGCTTTCAGAGGTCTGATGGTTCAGGGCCTCGTTCTCCTGCCCATCTAGAGCCTTTGACACAAGTCAACCCTACAGAGAGCGTAGAACAATCTCCCCAATCGACGAGGTCATCCGACTTCATATCTGGCGGTTACCTCACACCAACGAAGGCTCCTGTAACAGGCCGCAGTCACGAGAGACTACTTGAAGTGCCGCCGGAGTCCTCCACACCATCCAAGGAGCGCAACATCCCCAACATCTTCCGTAGCACACCCAACACTGATACTGGTGACAAGAGACAGCCTAACAAACTGAAGAAGAAGAGGATACCGGGAAGCCTGAACCCAAGTGCTCAGAGTTCTGCTGCCTCTTTGACATACACACACCCGAATGCTGGATCATCTCCTGGAGCGGAACTAGCTAACCCGATGGAACATGCTCAGCACCATGAATCCGGAACTCAGGCATTGCCGCAACAACCAGCCCCGATTCTTGAAGAACGACATCGAGAAGCATTGGAGCAGCAGCAAGAACTGCATGATCGACCTCCACATGGGCAAAACCTCCAAGAAACTTCACTCGCACATCCTGCTCCTCTGACGCAGCAAAAGAGTGACGTTTCATCTGAGCACACTCCTAGGGCATCTCAAGCATCATCAAACCAGAGCCTTCACCCAGACAATACACTGAAGTCGAAAAAGTCACCACCAACGTCTCTGCACTCGTCTTTTAATGAAGGCTCGGACCTGGATCAAATTCTTGACGAGCAATCTGTCAGCACTGTTGATCAAGCAGAAAAAGAACGAAAGAAACGTTGGCGGTTGTCGAGGAGTAAGAATGCCGACAACGGCTCCTCTACTGGTCTCACCTCACCACGCCTTGCCCTTGGGCAGAACGACAATGGCGACGTCAGCAACCTATCAATATCAAGTTCCAGCCATAGGCCTCGAAAGAGCGAGAGCTCTGACCGACCTTACATGGTGAGCGAGGGACACGGTAGCTTCGATCAGGGCAGAGAAAGTGATTCCAAGGGCCCCATAGGATGGATCAGGAACAAGTACCGTGAAGCAAAGGAGAGTGCGGAACAAAGGAGGAATAAGTCTCCTCCTCCGGCAGACCGTCCTGTCCTAGGCGCCTCAAGCTTCCAACCCCGAGGAAAGAGTTTGGAAATTAGAAGAGACGAGCCAACGCAACATGCTTCCCTTGACGCAATAGCCGGCGCTCCAGCAGTTGTCTCTAATCCTGCTGCAGCTCCCGGCCCAGCAACGGGTCCGGCTCCTACAGCGACACAAGTTCCTCAGACAGCCACAGTTTCGATGGTTCAACCAGAGCCCACATCGCCTGTCCAGCCAACCCATCCTCAAGCGCAAGTGCCTCCACCGGCTCAGGTCCAGGCTCAATCTCAACCTCAGCCGACAACTCCAGCCCAGCCTCCGGTTCAGGAGCAGAGTCGATCCCCAGTTGAACCAAAAGTTCAGACAGAATCTCCAAAGCCGCAAAGCCCCCAGACACCCCAGAAAATCATTTCTATGCTTGATGTCGACACGCCACCGGCCGCTGCTTCTGTAACCACGCAACCGCAGGCGGAGGAACCGAAACCCGTTCAAGAACAGCCACAGCCCCTGTTGTCACAGGAGCCAAAGGCAGAAGAAAAGCCAGTCCAGGCCACCGAGCAGCCGGCAGTGATATCGCCTGTACAGCCCGAGCAAGTACAGCCTGAGCAACAGCAAGTAAAGTCAGAGTCAGAGACACCAAAGCAGGAGCAATAGGAGGAGAAAAGCGTTCTAGTTCAAATGGGAGGAGTATTTTGGAATGGTTGAAGTAGTATCACGGCACGATAGCCTTTTCTTTTTAGTTTATTTTAGGGAGAATGAGATGGACATCATGATGGATATGCGGGAGACGGGTTTATCGACTGAACCCTGTTTAGACTCTCTACCACCCTTGTAAGTCGATTACATGTATGTAATGTAGCCTGGTGTGATGGTGAGCTTTATTTCATTTGAGCGGGTGGAGGAGTATAGTCAAGGAGTACAGGTTACTACAACAAAGATATGACATCCGAGCAGTTTCATGGTCTGATGCAGTCGCTGGTTGCTCAAGGGCTTACCATCGACGAAGCACGATATTTCTATGGTACATTCTTAGTATACACTCAATATTCATCCAAAATTTGGACGGCAATTCTACAACTCCTTCACTGGAGGTGCGTTATCGTAAATACCGGTGTCCCACACAATCATCTTTCCTGCGCGTCGCCAATCTTCGTTAAACAAACCATTGAAGCCCTTCCAAACAGGGCGCACCTGTGTGAGACCGAGAGCCTGCGCCTCAGGAGTCTTGACGAAGTCCTGTAGCCATGGCTCGATACCATCGAAACCGACGATGTAGCGGGGGACAGAAAGTGGCTCTTCTGGTCCAAATAGCTCCGAAGTAAGAAATGGAATAGGGTTGTCGTAAAAGCGATCAGCCTCATCACGATAGTTGTCTCGCTCATGAGTGTTTGGCTCAGTGTGAAGAGGTGGCTCACAAGTGAGGGCGTAAGCTCGTAGGCCAGGGTATACTAGGTGGGATCGCCAAGGGGTAGAATGGCAAGGCATGAGGAAAAGGGCGAATAACTCTTCGTCTTTCTCGGGTCCAACAGAGAAGCGAGAAGTCTGGGCGAGTTGAACTGAGTCTGGGTGGATGCGTTCGTACTCATGACGGAGATATGAAAGAACATTGAGGGGGGCTGGTTGGTGGAAGAAAGATAAATATCCTGCGAGAAGGACGTTGACGCCCAGTGCAGCCAGGAGATAGTGCTTATTGCGGATTTGAGGCCGAGGACGGGGGTTGTTGGTGGTAGCATCTGGCTGGAAAGTGAAGAATGAGGCGGCAACGGGAGCGGAGAGGATGCTGAGTGCTGGGAGAAGAGGATAGATGAAGCGAACCTCCTTATGAGAGATGATTGAAAGCGCGCCAGTAGTTGTGAAGACGGTATATGCGAGTGTCTTGAGTGCATTGGACTGGCTCGTTGATGAGGCAAATGCACTCGGCTTATACAGAGCCAGAATTGCAAAAGGAAGACTGGTGGTGCAGATAAGAGGGAGACCCTGGAGAATGTAGTAATGCCATGGATTGCGGCCATAGAACACGGCGAGAGATTTGGAGAGGTTGAAGTTGAGGAAATTATACGCAGGGAATGTCCAGAAGCCAAAGTATAGACGATCTGATGCGATGGATATGGCCAAGATTAGGGAACCGCAGAGAATTGCCTCGCGAACCAATGCAGATACAGTCGAAATTGTAATCGGCGAAGAGCCTTGTAGTGAGATCCGGGTGAGAGTAAAGAATACAATGGTCGCCCAGATGAGAACGTTGGTCGGTCGAAGAACAACGGCCAATGCTGCCAGGCACAGAGATGCACGAAGCGACCAGAGACTCCTGAGAACAGGCGTGGATTTGGGGTTCTCCTTTGTTGTCTGTACAGCACTGACAAGTTCCCAGGGCCAGTAGTACAGCGCCGTAACAGTGAGAGTCATCTCAAGGGAGTTGGAAAAGGTACGTGTAGAACAGTACCATTGCCAGGGGTTGAAGAGTTGAAGGAAGAGCTGGACCATCAAGTCAGTCAGTCAGTGGCCTGGCAACTTGGACACATCACTTACTGCAAAGAAGGAGACATTGCTGTTGGCTCCATAGATAGACACGGCGAGTTGCCAGGTGTACCAGTCACCAAGACCAGCAATCACGGCTTGAAGGGCTTTAGGAGCTGCGACGAGGATGGCAGCGCGGAGGATGCCCATAGGGAGGATGTGGCTGGAGATGAAGTCTGCGATGAGATAGACCGCAGCAAAGAGAGCTGGGTGAAGAGAGGTTCTGAGTTGATGTTTCCATTCCTAGTAAGTTTCGTCAGTGGCTTTGATCGACTGTGAACGTATGGTATAGTAGCTGATATGGTGTAAGTGGTGAGTTGTCACCTCGCAACTGGTAAAACAACCACATATTGAGAGGGGAAGCACGCATGAGTGTTTGTATGACATATCGAGATATCAACGAGAAGATGAATAAATAAACATACCCAAGTTAACCATGCACCGCTTCTAGAGCCAAAGGCCAAATCCCAAGCTGGCTCAAGAGACTGGAAGAACTCATCTGGCTGGAAAAAGGTAGCTATCCACCAAGCATTGATGAGCCGAATGACAATGATATCACGCAGGAAAACAGAACGATTCCTCTGATTCCGAGCCTCATCCAAGACTTTTCCTGAAACTGTCGCGGACGACATGATTAATGTCCACTGAGCTGATGGCCAGGTATATCTATCTGTCTATAGGGGCTGGACTATTCCAAGGAGACAACTGTTGATTGTGAGAGTGTGGCTCAGACGCTGATTGGCTGCTGATTGGTTGGCAACGTTCTGTCATGTGGCGGCGTTGGCCACAAGCCACAGTTTGGATGGAACAGGAAACATGACAAGAAACAAGATATGCTTCTATATGAAATTTGATTAACGATTGAGTAGGATAGGTATGAGGATTAGGCCGTAGCTAGGGTTGGAGCTGGTTTGATTCAAAGACGACCTGTATTACTCAGTAGATGTATGTACAGTGGTAAACAACTCGACTTCAGTACAACAAGCACCGAATAAAAATATATTTCCACTACTGTAAACAAAACAAAGTCTCTCTCTAAGCTCATGACATATTATCTTTTGCTACATCATGAGACGAAATATTACATATGTAATCCTGGCGGCTCAGGCGGAGTTAAGGCAGTTCCGCTGATAAATGGCGGAGCTGGCGGAACGAGCGGCATCTGGCGGGAAAGGATAAGACCAGATATTTGGCCGAATAGACGCAAACTGGGACTGGGAACACACTGGGAAATGGCATTGGTTGGATCTCTATCTGACTACTCCATCGATATCAATTGACAGGTTGGGGGTCACATGAGAACGAGAAGCTGTTACTCAACAGCAAGCAAATAGTTTGGATTTGGTTGCGTGTGGCACTTTTGATGGCTGCAGTAAAAGAACCGAGACAAACTCTGTTTTCAGAGAGGAAGTACTCTGTGTCTCTCCACGGTCAATACACAACAGGTACTTGGATAGAAATAGAGCATAATGACATAGATTATCATCCTGGTATGATGACAGTAATACAGACTTCACCATTGGTTATCTAAGAAATAGGGTCGTTGGTCAAAGTCTAGACCTGCATTGAACCCATGTCAGGTGGTTCTAGAGCCCCTCATTCCCCTCACCTCTCAGCCTCTCCCCAGATTATGTACTGTATGTTGAGACTGAGTTCACAGAGCAGAGCCTCTTTTAACTCATGATGGATGCACATCATGTCCAATGACATTGCGGCGTAGACCAAATAAAGTAATTCGACGTGCTCGGTATAGATACAGTGATCTAGATTTGGAGAAGCGACATACGCACATGCATCCATTGCCTTTGCCTTGGTTCACGGCCGTAATAAGCGATGACATGCTCCTCTCCATCATGTCATGACAAGACAAGACATTCACTGTATCAACTGAACACGGGCATCTCGGCCGGTGGCGGCAGGTCATCCGCCCTATTCCGCCCCGACCTCTCACCCAATCAGCTCCGTCACAACCTCGACTTTGCAACCTCACGCCCGCACACTCCCACGCTTGGTCGCTACCACTTGCACTTAGGGGTATAGTGTCGACAAACAACTCTAGATGCAGTCTTGGTTTTGCTGTAATAATTACCTAAGAAATCATATCTTGTCTCTTGTCCGTCCGCAACAAGCCTCCGTTTGCCGACAACCGTCAACCCGCTATCGGTCCTTAAAGAGCAGCCATGCTGTCCTCAAACTCTGAATTGTTCTTGTCTTCTCTCTATTCATTGATTCACCAACAAGAAGTACCTTGATTCACGACATCCTCACTTTCTACGTACCTACTCTTGTTGCTTTACTCTACTTTACCAACTACAGCAACACCAAATTGACGTCACCACTCAATCACAATGTCTCCTCACGCTGAAAAGGCCGTCTCTCGGTTCCATGCAACCTCTACCGAGAAGGCTATCGCCATTGAGGAGGAGTACGCCGCTCACAACTACCACCCTCTCCCCGTAGTCTTCTCCCGCGCCGAGGGCATCAACGTCTGGGATCCTGAGGGCCGCCACTACTATGACTTTCTCTCTGCATACAGCGCGGTCAACCAGGGCCACTGCCACCCCGAACTCGTCAAGGCTCTTGCCGAGCAGGCTGGTCGATTGACCCTCAGCTCCAGAGCCTTCTACAACGATGTCTTCCCCAAGTGGGCTGAGAAGGTCCGCGATGTTTTTGGCTACGACATGGTTCTGCCCATGTGCACTGGCGCCGAAGCTGTTGAGACAGCCATCAAGATTGCCCGCAAGTGGGCGTACAAGGTCAAGGGCGTTCCTCAGGAGAAGGCTTGGATCTTTGGTGTTTCCGAGAACTTCCACGGCCGGACCGTAAGTTCCGATATTCCTAAAAGTAAAAGCAACGTTGCTAACATGTGCCCCAGATGACCGCCATTACTCTGTCTGTCGACCCCGAATCGAGAGAAAACTACGGCCCCTATGTGCCCAACGTTGGCGCTTTCAACCCCACCACTGGCAAGGCCATCCGATACAACAACATTGCCGATCTCGAGGAGGTTCTTGAGGCTCACGGCAAGGAGACTGCTGCTTTCATCTGTGAGCCCATCCAGGGTGAGGCTGGTGTTGTTGTCCCCGATGAGGATTACCTCGCCAAGGTCCAGGCTCTCTGCACCAAGCACAATGTTTTGTTCATCTGCGACGAGATTCAGACTGGTATCGGCCGAACTGGACGCATGCTCTGCTCCCAGTGGGCCAACATCAAGCCTGACCTCGTCACCCTCGGAAAGGCTATCTCTGGTGGCATGTACCCCGTGAGCTGCGTTCTTAGCAGCAAGGAGGTCATGCTGGTCGTCGAGCCCGGCACTCACGGTTCTACCTACGGTGGTAACCCTCTCGGCTGTGCCGTCTCGATCCGCGCTCTTGAGATTATGGAAGAGGAGGATCTTACTGCCAAGGCTGAAAAGCTCGGTAACATGTTCCGTGATGGCCTGAAGGCTCTCAACACCCCTATCCTCAAGGTGATCCGAGGAAAGGGTCTCCTCAACGCCGTTGTCATCGACGAATCTGCTGCCAACGGCCGAACTGCCTGGGATCTGTGCCTGTTGCTCAAGAGCAAGGGTCTTCTTGCCAAGCCCACTCACGGCGACATCATCCGCTTTGCACCTCCTCTGGTGATTAGTGAAGAGGAGCTTCGAAAGGGTCTCGAGATCATTTCCGAGGCTATCAAGGAGCTTCCCAATGTTGAGCGAGCCCAGGGTCACTAAGCGCGGCCTTAACCTATAATATACGGATATGATGGAAAAACAAGGGAAAACGGCGTTTGATTTATGAATAGGCACCAGGTATTATGCCCGGAAGCCATGGCGGGATGATTGACGTATGTTCGGACTGCATAGCCAGAGAACAGCACTCTGGCAGGCGTTTGGGATTCCATGTCGGCTAGAGAGCCTTGTACAAGTTGAATACCCCGATGGAATAAAAATGCTGAAAAGATCTATATGTTGCTCTGCTGTACATGGTGCTATCTCTAGATAATTGATAAATAAAAGACTTAGTTAGCCGAGCTCTATGTGAGGAGATTACGATGCCCTCGGATGCCTCTTCATGGCCACAAACCTGCCATTGCAACATATTGCCATCAGACCAGGCCGGTAGTTGGCGGTCTGCGCAATAGCACTGATCTTTCCCCAAAACTGTTCCCTGTGTGGCTCAACACGGCAGATTGATCAGCCATGAGATCGCCGTTCCGTCATGAGACAAGTGCAGGCAGACAGATACATGAATAATGTTACATACCCAAGTTACCTGGCAAGACATCTTACTAATCTTGGATGTTATCCTCTGTCGCAATCAACGAGGGACACGACGTGTGGGTAACAGCTGACTGTGCTGGCCAAGGTACTGTCTTGGTATGCTGCTCTAAGGTACGTCTCTGACTCGCTGAAGTCGATTACCAGGAGACGACGTAATTACGGTTCTACACAGGAATAGTTCCATGACTCGCATTTTCGGAGAAAAGGGACATTTTTGAAAGTCCAACATACGATAACAGCTGTAACAGTGAAACCCGTAATCGGATCCGTGTCTTCCGTCCGGTGGATCTTGAAACACGGCGTTGAGGTCCGGAGCACAGCGAAAGGGCCGGTGTAAAGCCGCCGATTCGACGGATCATTCGGCGGCATTTGGAGCGGTAACATACAACACCGAATTACAATTAGCGTATGGGGGGGCTCAAAGGGCACTCACCGTAACGCAGCAGCCCTTACGAATCATGCACTGTATTTGCTGAACGCGTGGCATGCCGTATTGGATGTGGGGATGGCTGGACGGTCATGCTGGGTGCCTGTTTGAGGCCTGATACATGAGGTATCGCCCGTATTGTTGGTTACTTGAAGGATACTACGGTAGGAGGTGGTGGGGGATGAGGCCATCCGTGATAGGCAGAGGCAATCTTGCACATAATCTGGGCCGATCGTATGTAGACCCGATTGATAGAGGAGACGGTGTGTTACGGGGAGGGCCATTGTCTCGTGAAACTCGCAGAATGCGACTCGATGTGAGCAAGTTACAGATTGAGCAAACTGCAGGAGGTAGAATCACACACATGAACAATCGAGAGAGAAAGCACATGTATCGATATGTGAGTGGCTGCTCTAACGTTTGAGGGATGAGAAACAGTTATCGATGAGTAGATCCACGTGTTTGGAGTGTGGTTGGTTGGCTGTTTAGCCAGGCACACACAAAGGGCAGAACGATCGTGGGGGTTAATTGGCAGAGGACTCCATCCAATTCGAGGTCGTATTCTATCGATTCATGAGAACGCATTTGGGGGACTTTGGTGTGTGATCCTAAATTCTCGGTATGCCCAACTGAGAAGGCAGAGAGGCACATGTCCAACACGTCCATCCATGATAAGAGAAATATCGGGGTTCAACATGAAGAGATAGATAAGAAAGCAATGGGATCGATCACTTCTCCAGGTTTTCACTAACTCGATTGAGATGCATCGGGAACGCCAAGAGATAGATAGTCGAAGCGTATCAGACTGGAAACAAACATTCGAGGCTAGACTTGCCCATGTCGGTGTCACTATTCCTTAATTCTTTATTGATAACATGGGAAACACAGCACATGATGCCTTTTTTCTCCTCTTTCTTTTTAAAGTTGACGAGGCAACATGCTCCCTTGTTCTAGCGGCTTTCAAAGCAGCCAGTCGGTCAAGGAACAGGGGGATAGTTGCCGATCTAGGACGAGAAGATGACGATCTAGGTGTGAGTAATGACGGTACTTGTGTTTGTGTTTGTGTTTGTATTTGCATTGTCTTTTTTTATGTTTAGTTGTCCTTTGCTTAGGAATCATCACGACTCGTGTGTTCAGTTGACGTGATAATGGAAGCGGGTGAGTGAGTGGGCACTTCTGTTCCTGACTTGTCGTGTCTACTAAATACCATGTCTCACCCAGTTTCAATGCCATCATCAATATCCGGAAACATCACCCTTACCATGATCCAATTAGTTCAGAGGTTGCCCACCCTTTCTTAGACCCGAGTCCTACTGCTAACAAACTCACTAACTCAAAAAGTTGGGGGAACCTAATGGGCCTCGTCTGCCTGGTTTCCAAAAAAGGAACATCACTTGCAAGGTAGGGGTACTGACTGTACTTCTATGTATGCGGCCTGGGCAGGCATATGGGCATAGGTGGGCATGATAATGATAATGCACTTTGGCCGGGCGGATTGATACATACCTACTTACTTATTCATACGGATAAAACCATGCTGCGGTGCATTGTCGAACAATGGGACGCCTCCTATTGCGAGCGAGTGAACATCCGCTGACGCCATGCGCTTTGCGTGACCAGCATCGAATTACAGTATTAATAACAACTATTTCGCCATCCGAGCTCAGCCATGTCCTCCATGAGCACGAACGAGCACGAGCTTGGGTCTCTAACTTGACCTTGCCCAAACAAGGGAGGTCAAGATTTATCTGCGACAAGATCAAAAGTGAGTGTTGGTTCTTTTGCCGGACCGGACCTTGTCCTATCTTGTTGTCCAGACTATCAGCGACGATCAGCCAATGTTTCTCACTGGGCTCCATGGCTGGTCGCACCTCGTGGCAGGGAGCGCTATAGCGGGCCATGGCGTAGATGGAGAGACATCCAATGCCCTGCCGGCCGACCAGTCTTGATTTGATGGGGGCTGATAGGAGTCAGTCGAGGTGGTGAGAGCATGAGAACGCTTAGGTAGTGCTTGGAGAGTAGATACATACATTAGTATCCGTACCTTGGTTGGGATCGATGTTGAATGCTTTGGAGTCTTACAAACTTGGCTGGCGTAAAACAAGCCAATTCAAGGTTGTTCAAGACTCGATTGATATTGACATGTTTCATCCTCCACTTTCCAGGTCCAGGTTTCAGAACATGCTGCCTACCTATGGAGCTCAATTCCTGGTAAAGCTTCCGGAGAAAGTGGACGCGTGAGAGATGCTCGCTCAGTGGGGCCGGGCGACCTCGGCATCCATAACCTTGTATCCGGCCGTGGCCACTAAGGTACAGTACCTACAGAAGGTATCCGTACCTGTATCGGTATCTGTACCTGTATCGGTATATGTTCGTACCTCAAGCCTTCTCAAGGCTAATAACCACGATGACGGAATGTTTTGACCAAATTGAGTTTGAGTTTGACAAGAGTTGTCCTATTGTTCATAGATCAGATGCATCACATCAATCGGGCTCAGGCAACAACAACACCTCCTCACGAGGCGCTCACAACGTTGACAGGAGTTGAAGGCGGTCGAGCTTGGCCCGGAATAGTTTAGCTCAGCGTGTATTGCACTTTGACTCTATCGTTATCATGCACCGCATGATTCCTCTTTGTTTTTGTTTTTTTTAGGTCCTTGTTGGGGATGGAGAAAAGAGGCTGCGGCGGTTGTCGGTTGTTTTCCCTTTCTACTTTGATCCATGTAATGTAAAGTGAGTGATTTGTTGACTGACTCACTGATTCATCCATCCATTCACTCATCGCTAGGCTCTTCCAGGTTTTGTCTCTTCTCATCCCGCTCTTGTCTTTGATCCCCTGGTCTTGTTTTGGACTTGGGTGTATCACGGGGTCACCCAAAAGTGATCGATTAGCCTCTAGGTCATCCCCCGCAAAACAGACCCTCTTTGATCACTGTCTCTTAATTATTAGGCATGTCTAGGTATTGGTATTATTATATTCTGTCAGACAGTCAGAGTCACTTACTCATTGTTCTGCAATCTCCAATGATGCCCCCGTGCGTGAATGTGAAGTGTGTCTCAGTCGTCCACACCCACTCGTAAGGCTGTCATTCTGAGCCAAGTTGAGAGGTACTTGGGACTTGAGGCTGATTCCCACCCAGATCGCATGTACCCCCTGACACTCTACATCCTTGTCGATTGGAGATTCTCCAGGACCCTCTGACGCCTGCGGCACTTCACACGCTAAACAGGTACTCAAGGGTTACTAGGTTTACTTTGAATGGATGGAAGCTTTGGAGCTTGGAGCTAAGCAGCCTGAGGTAACGCGCCCCCTACAGCCGGGCTACCTTAGTTACAGGCTACCGTCCTGGACAGTCACTGCACGCAGCCATTCCCCATTTTCCCCCTTCTAGAAACCCGACCTTGACTGGGCTTGATTCGTACCAGTCATTCACTTCACTTCACCTTCCATCAAAACTATTCACTTTCCGCTTGGTTATCTTTACCGTCAACTTTTCTTCTTCTTCTTCTTCTTTTTCTGCCTTTTGCCTATTTCCTTTATATGGCACTCTGTCTTGTTTGCCTCAATTAACCTTTTGTACTCTGTGCTTTGTTGTTTTTCTTGCTCGCACAGCATCTGTTCGACCACCGCCTAGCTCCCTCGCTCGTGTACCTACAATACAATAGTCGGTACCAGAGTTGCGTCAGGGGTGTGTGTGTGTGACGCAACCCCGATCAGCCTGTCCCGACCTCTTGACTTGGAGCCTTGGACTGTCTCTGTATTCCCGTCTGTACCTACAGCACGGAAAGACACACTACACCCCATTCAGCAACACGTACGAATCATCAACCTGCATAATTCTAGACTCTGGGCATTGCCAATGCATTCGAGGTGCACGATAACATCAAACCATCCCATCCCTTCCTCCCATTGAGTCATCGCTGTCATCCACCTCTCTAACCGCCCTATCCGCGTCCACGGTTTTTGGGGGGGGCGATTATCTCCGATCACGCTCATCCTCCTCCCCAAGTCAAAAACGAGTAC